GCTGGGTCTGTTTTTATTTGCCATCTCCATGAAGTTCTCATAGGTTTTTCACTAGGTTACATCCTAGATTTCTTATAACTTTGATCGCTTTGGGGAAGACTATGTATCTGATTTTCTGTTAACTTCCCAGTTGGTTATACTAGTACCGTGGTCGGCAAGCTGCGGCTCGCGAGCCACATGCGGCTCTTTGGCTCCTTGAGTGTGGCTCTTCCTAAGCCGTAGGAGTACCCTAATCAAGTTAATAACAATGTACCTACCTATATAGTTTAAGTTTAAAAAATTTGGCTCTCAAGAGAAATTTTAATCGTTGTACTGTTGATATTTGGCTCTGTGGACTAATGAGTTTGCCGACCACTGTCCTAGTAGAAGAATGCTATTGATTTTTTAATTAATTAATTAATTAAAAATATATTTTTGTTGATTTCAGAGAGGAAGGGAGAGGGAGAGAGAGATAAGAACATCAATGATGAGAGAATCATTCATCGGTTGCCTCCTGCACACCCTCCACTGGGGATCTAGCCTGCAACTCGGGCATGTGCCCTGATGGGAAATTGAACCGTGACCTCCTGGTTCATAGGCCAACGCTCAACCATTGATTTTTTAAATCGAGGTAAAATTCACATACCATAAAATCCATCCTTTTGAATTCGATGGCTTTTAGTATATTTGCAGGGCTGTGCAACCATCATCACTAACTTCAGAACATCTCATTGTCCCCACACTTGCTCCCCTCCCCCAGGCCCTGGCAACCACTCATTTCCTTTCTGTCTCTGGATTTGCTGATTCTGGGCATTTCAGAGGGAAATGGAATCATAAAGTATGTGGCCTTGGTGTCTTTTCTCATTCGGTATACTGTTTTCAAGGGTTACCTGTGTTGTAGCATAGATCAGCACTTCATTCCTTTGTATGACTAAGATGCCGTTGTCTGGATGGACCACATTTTATTTACTCATTCACCGGGTGATGGACATCTGGGCCGTCTCCCTGCTCACAATACATTCACCCTCCCCCACCTTTGTCCGTATTCCTGAGAAACGGGAGGAGCAGGGCCCTGCCAGGCAGACATGGCCCCATGGGCGGGCACAGGACTTGCTGAGCCTGACGGAAGCTGGATGTCAGCCCACACTTGCTCACTCCATTGCTCCTGAGCAGTGCACAACCTCCCCAGCTGGATATGGCATTCCTGCTACTGAAGTTCCTGAAAAGATGTTGGGCAGTCCAGGAAGTGTTTCCTGGCTCATAAAGAGATACAGGGGGCCCTAGCTGGTTTGGCTCAGTGGATGGAGTGTCAGCCTGTGGACTGAAGGGCACTTGCTCTGTTTGCGGGCTCCATCGCCAGTGGGGAGGTGTAGGAGGCAGCCGATCAATGATTCTTTCTCATCATTGATGTTTCTATCTCTCTCTCCCTCTCCCTTCCTCTCTGAAGTCAATTAAAAGAGAGAGAGAGAGAGAGAGAGAGAGAGAGATACAGGAGGAGCCGTGGCCAGTGTGGCTCCATTGGTTGGGCGTGTCCCATGCACTGAAAGGTTGCTAGTCCGATTCCTGGTCAGGGCACATGCCAGGCTTGCAGACTGGATCCCCAGTGGGGGGCGTGCCTCATCTAATTGATGCTGATGTAGCTCTCACATCGATGTCTCTCTTTCCTCTCTTCTTCTAGCTCTAAAAATCAATTTAAAAATCTTAAGGGGAGCCCTAACCGGTTTGGCTCAGTGGATAGAGTGTCAGCCTGTGGACTCAAGGGTCCCGGGTTCGATTCTGGTCAAGGGCATGTACCTTGGTTTCGGGCACATCCCTAGTGGGGAGTGTGCAGGAGGCAGCTGATCGATATTTCTGTCATCGATGTTTCTGACTCTCTATCCCTCTCCCTTCCTCTCTGTAAAAAATCAATAAAAAAAAATCTTAAGGGGAAACAAAGAGCGAGATACAGGAGGAGAGTTCTGTTCCTGCGTCTGCCCTTCGCCGCGGGAGGGGAAGGCTGGCAGGGGCTCCAGCCACATTGCCATCCGGGCTGCTGCCACAGTGCCCAGGCCAGCAGTGTGGAAAGACGGCCCAAACCGGTGAACCTGGAGCCCGCGGCCCTCTCTGCACACCCGGGAGCTGCCCCGTGGGCATTCTTGACTGAGATGGCAGACTCCTGGCTGTGGAAGCCAGCTGAGCCGGAGTTCCGAGGTTCAGGTGAAACCACCCTTACGGATGAGTTAGAGGGAATTCTGAGACGGCCCTCTGAATTTCTGACATGAACCTGGAGCTCGCCGGTTTAGCCATCAGGGTCAAGGCGAGAACTCTTTCTGGAGAAATGTTTGGGGATCCCCAATAAAGGGCAGAATGGCCTTGGCCGGTGCTGCTCAGGGGTTAGAGCGCCGGCCTGGGCAACGAAGGGTCTAGGGCAGCGGTTCTCAACCTGTGGGTCGCGACCCCTTTGGGGGTTGAACGACCCTTTCACAGGGGTCGCCTAAGACCATCAGAAAACACATATATAATTACATATTGTTTTTGTGATTAATCAATATGCTTTAATTATGTTCAATTTCTAACAATGAAAATACATCCTGCATATCAGATATTTACATGACGATTCAGAACAGTAGCAAAATTACAGTTATGAAGTAACAACGGAAATAATTTTATGGTTGGGGGTCACCACAACATGAAGAGCTGTATTAAAGGGTCGTGGCATTAGGAAGGTTGAGAACCACTGGTCTAGGGTTTGATTCCTGGTGAAGGGCACGTGCCTGGGTTGCAGATCCAATCCCATCCTAGTTGGGGCGCGTGCTGGAGGCAACCAATCAGTGTGTGTCTCTCTCACATCGATATTTTTCTCTCTCTCCCCCTCCTTCCCTCTCTCCCTTTCACTCTCTCTAAAAATCAATGGAAAAAATATCCTAGGGTGAGAATTTTTTTTTAAAAAGGCCCCTCAAAGGTGTCCATGTCTCAATTCCCAGACCCCATGACTATGTAATTCCCACGGCACGTGGGGCTTTGCAGATGTGTCTCCAGATGTGCTGATGGGAAGATCACCCACTCTCACCACATGGGCCGTGACGAGCGGAGAACCTGGCCCGGCTGTGGTCAGAGCTGTGCCGAGGGAGGAGGGTCAGAGCTCTGAGGAGGAGGAAGAGGGCCCTGGCCTAGGAGGGAAGGAGGCCAGAGGAGCTGGAAAAGCCAGGAAGCACAATCTCCGTCCTCCCAGGAAGGAGCGCAGCCCTGGGAACAGTTTGATTTTAGCCCAGGGAGACCCACGTCACACTTGTGACCTCCAGGATGGCAACAAATGTGAGTTTCAAGCCACTAAGTTTGTCTAGTTTGTACAGCAGCTGTGGGAAACTGATAGGCCCGTTGAGACACAGAAACCAAAGTATGTCCAGAGGAGATAGGGCTCAGTCCCGCTCGCCCTCGGCCCCCGCAGTGGCGTCCTCAGATAAGGCCCGGCTGACGAGGTGGTGTCTGAGTGGGTTTGGGCCGCTGAGAGCCGCTTCCTGAGTCACAGATGGCCCTATCTAGCTGTGTCCTCTCAGGACAGGCGGGCTGAGGACACGGCCGAGACAGCTCTGTGAGTCTCTACTAAGGGCACCAATCCCATCCACGAGGGCCCCATCCTCCTATCACCTCCTACCACCACCATCCCGGAGCCCAGGTTGCAGCATATTAATTTTGAGGGGACACAGACGTTCTGTCTATAGTAGTTAGGGTTCCAGTTTCTTCTCATCCCTACAAGCCCGGCTGTCCCAGGGGTGGTGTGCAGGCGGGACCGGGCCTGTGTGTGTCACTGTGTATCTCTGTGAGACTGGCCCACAGCGGGAGCAAGGGAACTGGGATGAAGTCACTCAGGTGTCTGGAGGCACCATTCCCACGGTGTCATCACGAATGTCACGCTGGGGCGGCACCAGGAACACAGATGCAGGCTCACCCCCACCCTGAGACTACCTCCCATCCTCCTGGTTAGTCCCAGACAGCATGGCAGGAGCAGGAGGGACACGAGACTACAGACTTTTTAAAATAACTGCATCCTTTAATGGCAGTAATACAATTATTGGGTTAAGAGACCACAGGAGAAAGGGCAGGGGACGCTTCTGGAAGACAGATACAGAGTACAAAAAGGGGGTGGAGTAGAGGCATGCGACGATCATTGTAAAAATACAGTACGTTATATACATATTTGCACCATCAACTTTCTGAAATAGTATTTACACTTTTGTTACAATCCTGGTTAGAGAACAAATTTTTTTTAAAAGCTTGGCCTGATGGCAAATGAAAATTTGGGGTAAATTCATAGTCCCATGAGGTTCTTAGGCTGAATACCCAAGGAGGGCTCCAGCTTCTAATTCATCCACAAATTTGTTTTAAAAAATTATTTAATTTGCTTTTACAAAAGAAAATCCTCAGAGAAGGAAACAAACCCACAGCCACACTGAGTTTTCTTACTTATTGTACAAACACCGCGGGCTGCGGCCCTCTGTTCAAGGCCAACACTGGCGGCTGAAGAAAAATATCACTAATGTGTAAAAAAACGAAACAAAAAGACAAAGACAAACCAAACCGACCTGATCACGGCGCACTGACCCTGTGGGGCTGCCTCTCTGGCCTTCGCTTCTGGCCCCAAACACAACTACTTTTTTTTTTTTTTCCGGGGAGAGGGGTTTGGTATAGCAGCCTTGTTCACCTCCCACCCCAAGGTGCGGGGAGGGAACCCTTTGGCTGGGTCACCAGGTTTCCTCATTATTAGCAAGGGAGAGACAGGGGCCTTAAGCGAGGCGGCTGAGGCGGTGGGACAAGGAGGCAGAGAAGCTGGCAAGGACCAACACCAGTGGGAGGGACCCCTGGCGGTACAGGCCTTGCCCAGCTTCCCCAGGCCGTGTCCATGGGGCTCGTCTGGAGCTGTGGACAGGGCTGGACTGTAGCCAGGTGCTGGGAGAAGCCGGTGCAGATGTCTGCTCCCTTCCCGGCTCAGCTGATCAGGGGAGCAGGACGCAGGTCTCGGGTTCCACACCCCCTGCCATCCCTTCTTAGGGGAGTGCCCACCAACCCCACACCCACATGCCTCTGAACTTGTGCACCTGTCGCTTAGAAGAAACCCAAACACACCGAGACCACGGCCCCACAGATATGGCGCAAAGAGGGGCAAAGGGAGCAGAGACAGAAACACTGCCCAGAACCAGCCAGGCCTCCTCCTCAGGGGCCTGGTGGGCAGCCATGCCACGGATCCTTGAGCCGTCCCCAGGGGCACCAGGGCCAGCACTGGGCACTCTGGCTTCTGAGGAGCAGGACAGCCCCTGGCACGAGGGGAGAAGGGCATGGCCGACAGGACAGGACAGGACAGGAGGGGCTAATACTGACGGAATACGCCATCTGCAGCGCTGCCGCCCGGAAGCAGCACGGGCCCTGCCCCATCCTCTCACCCTGGCGCCTGCGGTCGAGGCCTGAGGTGCGGGCTCAGGGTGAACTCTGGGCTGAGGCTGGCGAGGGACCAGGCGCAAATCCAGAGGCGATGCGGCAGGAAGGGGTTTTGTTTCTTCCAGGGCGGCTCCCAGGGCTCCTTTCCTTCCCTGGATAATCTTTCGCCCCCCACTGGCCCCTAAGCGGGTCCTGCCTCGGTCCCGGCTACATCTCGCATCCTCATGCAACACGTAAGCAGTGCTCAGGGCCTTCTCAACACCTACTTTGTCCTGCAAGGAGGGGGGAGGAGGGGCCAAGCTGTGTCCAGAAAACCCCCTGGACCCCCAGTCTTCAAGGAGTCCCTGAAAATTGGGCCGGCCAGGCAGAGCACCAGCTGGTGACTTGCAAACTGTTCATGTGCACAAGTAGGTTTTCTTGGCGGGAGCCCGGAGCCCTGCAGCACTGACGAGAACTGAAGGTTATATACAATTTATATGTTTTAAAAAGGAAGTATTACTTAAAAAAGGGGGGGGGGGGCAAGAGCGAGAAAGAGCATAGAGCAAAAGAAAAAAAGAAAAAGAGGGAAAAGTAAAGAAAGAATACCCAGGCGCCCCCTCCCCCCAAGTTCCCAACTCTGGATGCTGCACTTAAATATTGCCCTAGGAAGGGTGGGTGTAGGGACAGCTCCGCCCGACCTCACACTACTGGCAAAAGGGGGAGGCGGTGGGGTCAAAGCCTTTAAAAACATCCTTCAGGGACCCCGCGTCCTGCTCGCCCTCTCGGGCGGGGCTGTTGCCAGCGAACGGGCTACTGGAGCCCGTCTTAGGCGCCTGCTTCACGGTCCCGAAGAGGGTGGGCACTGGCAGGTTGTGCACGCCGGGCTGGGGGGGCGCGCCCTCTGGAGGGGGGGTGCCGGTGGTGGCGGCGGGGGTGGCAGCAGCCTTGGGCCGGGGCCGGTTGTAGCTGTTGTATCGGTCCGTGGCTGTGGTGGAGCCCCCGTCCGCACCGGCCTTCCCTGGTTCGGGCTGTTCCAGGGCAGACTTTCGGACAAACGGGGGCTCCTTGGCCTTGGCCGCCGAGCCCTTGCCATTGCCCTCGGTGCCCTTGGGCTGGGCAGCCCCGTCAGCAGTGGGCTCTGCAGCTTTACCACCTGCATTGGGAGTCCTGGGGTCGTAGAGACTGATGCCGCTCAGCACACTGCTCTGCCCGCTCCCACTGCCCTGGCCCAGCCCACCAGCCGCCAGGACTCGGGGGTCATAAGGGGCGGTGGCTGGGGGAGAGGACTCCCCACTGGGGCTGGCAGCTGGAGAGGGCGCTTCGGCAGAGCCAGGCTTGGCAGCGCGGGAGGAGGCAGCAGAGTCTGCGGATTTCTGCAGCCGAGGGTCAGTGGGCGCCTTCCGCACCCGGGGGTCGCTGGGCTTGTCGCTGGGGCCGGGGGCAGCAGAGGGGCCAGTGGCACTGACAGTCTTGAGGATTCGAGAGAGGAGCTCGAAGTCAGGCAGGCTGGAGCCGGATGAGCCGGGGTCCGTGGAGGTGCCCGAGCGCTGTCGGGGGTTGGAGGGACCCACAGCGGAGGCCCGATGCAGCCTGGGGTCCAGGGCAGGCATGGACTGCAAGGCAGCAGGGACGGGGGGCACGATATCCTGCTTGGGGATGGGCAGGGGGATCAGGTCCTCGGGGTTCCACAGCACGGTGCGGGCGAAGCTCGGCTTGCTCAGGGTCACATCCTTCTTGATGTGGCTGAACTGCTGCAGCTGCGACCGCGGGTCCCGCAGCGGGTGCCCGGGAAGGGGGTCCAGGGGAATGTTCACGGCCTTCTCCCGCAGGGCCCGCTCCCCTTCCTCCTCCTCTGCAGGGGGTGGCCCGGACCCCTTGGAGCCGCTGGGGCCCGCGGGGCTGGAATGAAGGCCGCCTTCGGGCTTAGGGGCAGGCAGGGAGCGAGCCAGCCGAGGGTCGGAGGGCCCCGTGTCGCCGGGGCCTGACCCGCTGGAGGCCTCCGTGTGGCGGGTGAGCCTGGGGTCCCGGCTGAGGCGGGGGTCAGCCAGCCGGCCTCCGGTGGGGTGTCCCTTCTGGAGGCGGGGATCCCCCAGCCCACTGCCGCTCAGCTCCCCGACAGAAGCCTGGGGTCGGTTGGACGTCTGCTGCCTCAAGGTCTTAAGGATGGAGGTGACGCTGCTCCCACCGTCGTCCTCGTCACTTGAGTACCAGTTTCCAGTGTCACCTGAGAAAGCAGAGGAGCAGGGAGGGAGTGAGTGGCCACCACATCCACCCGCTCGGACCCCCGGCAGCCCGTTGGGGGAACACCTCTGTCTCTTACCTCTCAGAACCTCACCTCTCCTCCCTGAAGAACCCCGTCCCCTGCCACGAACAGCCCGTGAGCTCAGGCCAGTGAAGTGCTGACCCTGGAGGCCCTGGGTGACATTTCTGCACCCTCCCTCGGGTGCGGGCACTGAGCTAAACGCTTTGTCTTATTAATTCTCACAAACACCCGGAAGCAGTGTTATTGGCCCATTTGACAGATGAGAAAAGGGAGGTGTGAACTGTGCCCTGAGATGGGGGCAGAGCTCAGACTGAGCTCAGGCTCCAAGCCTAGGGTGCTACCACCTCGTCATCCCCTGGGCAGGCTCAGGCCCCACTGACTCAGCTCCCACTATGCCTGGGGTCACAGACACTTGCCCCCAGGCCCCCAAGATTACCACATCCCAGGGAAGGGCAGCCACAGGCTAAGAGGCGAGGCCAGGTGGGCAGACATGGAAACTAGCCCAAGTCCAACCTCCTAAGCAGATAAAACTGGAGCCACCAGAGGAGGGCGCTGCCCCCTCATCCCACGGTCCCCACTTGCTCCCGGGCTCCTGTCATGGCCACCTAAACACAATTTGTCCTCCCCATTTCACCCTGGGGGTGCCACCAGCTCACTGCACAGCCCCATGTAACTTGGCAGCTGTGTGTGACTGATCATTACTGGTTATGTCGGCCAGCTCTCATCTGCTGGCTTCCTGAGAACAAGGGGCAAGGGGTGTGTGTGAGCATCTTTCTACAGCCTCCTCGGTAAGGGTGCAGGGGGTAAATCGAGCTGGCTACTGTCTCCTCTAGGGACCAGGTCTCTCCCGACCCCCAAGGCACAGAGGGCAGCCCTGACTTCCGATTTCCTGAGGGACGTGCATCAGCCCGAGCCTGGTTCCCAGCCTGAGGCAGGGTCCTCCCTGGCCATAGGCTCCCTTTCAGCGCAAAACCCCATCTAGGTGTTCCCCTCTTTCCCCTGCACGGTGCCCGGGGCCTGCGCCCTCAGGGAAAGCCCTGCCCCTGGGGAGGACACATGCCTTCCTCATTCTCCCGGTCCTGCTTGCTGCTCTCAGCCAGCCTCCTCGCTCTCTCCTCCTCCTCCTGCTGCTTCTGCTGGATCCTCAGGTACAGGGCCCTCTGGGCCGAGGGCAGGAAGTCGGGGACACCGGCGCCCGGCTTCGGCCGGCCTGCGGGCCCTCCCTCAGAGAAGCTGTCGGGCTCCAGAGGGTGCTCGGGGAAGAGGTGCTCCCCAGGCTCCCCCGGCAGCTCTTCGTAGTGCCCGTAGTCCTCTGTGGCAGGGAAGAACCGAGGGTTCGTGTCGGGAAGGGCCTTGGGATGGCAACTCCAACCCACCCACGCCCTCAACTGAGACCTCCCCTGATGGCGATGGCGATGGGTGAGATGTGCAGCCCGTCCCTTCCTACCAGCCCAGGACGTCCCCCCAGAAAGCCCACAGCGAGGACCGGGGCAGCCAACCTAGCATGCAGCCAGGGTGACCACGGGGATCACAGTGAGGTTTGGTGGCATGGCAAACGCTCATGACGTGAAAACAGGACGGAACGTCATACGGATGTTTGCAAAATGCAAAGAAAAGGCTCTAGAAAGACAGACAGGAAACAGTCTCTTGGAAATGAGATTCCGGAGGCGGGCTAAGAGGTCTCTTCACTTTTCACTCCACACGCTCTGACCTGCGTGTTTATTTGCCGTGAGCACTAGTTTTAGGGTTTGTTTGTAATAATCAATAAAGAAGAACACGATCACATTGGGAGGTCAAAACATGAGCTTAACAACTGGGAACGAGGCTCGTAAAGAAAAGAAGGGAAATACACCGAAACGATGCTGAGTGCAGTAAGCCTGTCAGAGAAAGACAAACATCACATGACCTCACTTATGCGTGGAATCGAATGAACAAAATAAACTGACGAACAAAATAGGTCCAGAGACAGGAAGCATGGGACAGACTGGCGGATCTCAGAAGTGGAAGGGGTTACAGAAGAGATTAACCAAAGAACATATACACTCATATGCACAGCCCATGGACACAGACAATAGTGGGGTGAAGGCCTTGGGGTGGGACAGGGGCTGGGTGGAGGGGGACAAAGGTGGGGAGAAATGGGGGACATCTATGATACTCTCAACAATAAAAAACAAAACAATATGTTGCTATGGACACATGTCAACCCAGAAGCTCCTGCTGCTTCCTCTTCCTGCTTCCTGCACTCCATGAACATGGATGAGCTGCTGCATTTAAGGAGGGGGCGCAGCATGGTGGGCTGGGGGACGATACACCTGGAGGCTGTGTGTGTGTGTGTGTGTGTGTGTGTGTGTAATTCTCTCAGAGATGGAGAATGTCCAGTGAGCGCTGCCCACAAATGTTGTACAATGATGAACGTGCCGTACACCCACCACTGCCTCACGGGGCTAGTGAGCAACTGAAGTGGGGCCAGTAAAAGACAGTGAAGCTGTAATTTAATTTTATATTCAGAATAATTTCATGTATGTGCAGAAAGCAAAAGGCCACCTTGTTCTGGCCACTGAACTTTGTCACATGTGAACTTGATCGGCAAGCCTGATCTGTGCCACGCCCTGGCTCGGGGTGAGCAGTCCCTGTCCCCCCTGCTTGGAATTTTCACCAAGAGTGACTCACTGCCCGGCCGGCGAGGCTCGGGTCAACAGATGAACCAGGAAGTCACGGTTCAATACCTGGCCAGGGCACATGCCTGGGTTTCAGGCTCAATCCCCAGAAGGGGGTGTTCAGGAGGCGGCCGAGCAATGATTCTCTCATCATTGATGTTTCTCTCTCTCCCTCCTCCTTCCTCTCTAAAATTAATAAAAAATGTATATTTTTAAAAAGATGGTTGTGCACCTGTGAATACAGTAAGGACTCACTTAACGTTGTCGACAGGTTCTATAACAAACCAATGTCACCAGAGGCTAATGGATACAAACAAGAGCTAAGTTCCCAGGGCACCACCAACGCTCTAACGGAAGGCCGTGGAGCGCAACCTCCCTGGAGGACCTGCCGTGCCTGAAGCCACTGCGCAGCACACTCTGCAGGACTTCCTGACGTGGGGATTTAAGCCAGTTCCTCTCTGTGCTGTTCACAGCTTGACAGACTTGCTTTTCTCCCACCCCCGATCTCTGGGCCTGCAGTTTACATACATGTTTACAGGTGGGAGGGGCTGTGGGAACATCACCTCTGCCCCCCGGCCAGCGCCCCATCCACGCCTGTCCATCTTGTAATGCATATATAAGGGGTCACGCTGGCCCATGCATCGTCTCCAAACTGAGAAGCCAAGCCCTGCTGCTCCCTGCTACCTCCAGCTGCCGCCTGGCTCGCCTCTGCCCAGGAGGATCCCACGCCCGCCCTACCACCCACTGCCCTCTCACTCCTCTGCTTGTCCCTGTCACTCTTCCAACGAGGTCACCTCGCCGGGGTGACAGGTTCCCACTGCGCTGGGACTCCTCTCCCTTGTCCTCCCTTTCCAAAGCACTCGCTGCTTTTGCTTTTCTCAAGCCAGCTGACCGGCTGGGGCCTCTGCCCTGGCTGTCCTCCCGTGTGGGCTGCCGCCTCCCCTTCCTGTCCCAGCTCACTCCCAGTTACTCCTCAGAGAGGCCTCTGCCCACTGACCTCACCGTGTCCAGACCCACCTGGCCCACCCCCCACCGCCACTCTCCCCCAGCACCGTTACTTCTAGCCACAATCAATGCCGGAACGAGCTTGTGTACGTATGTGCACATGTCCTGCCTGTTTCCCTCCACTCCGATGAAGCTAAGGCCAGGACCGGGGCTGTCTCGCTGGCTCTGACCCCAGGACTGGAGCAACCGCACAGGCCGCAGTGAGCACACCCCTTCCTGAAGGCTGCACGCTACCCCCGATGGCCACGCGGCTGTCGCTGCCAATGTGTGTTATTATTTTAACAGGAAGGAAGGAGAGAAGGAAGGAGGACGGTCAGACGCAGGGACAGCACAAGCAGAAGCACGAGGCTGACGCTGGTGAGGCCACTTCAGCCCCTTAGCCCCACCCCTCCCACACCTGCCCCTCGATGTTCCCGTGCGCCTGATTCCAGGAGCACCAAGCCAAATGTCTGAGAGGCTAAATTACAGGGCTAATAACCATAATATTCCTTTCAGCCTCAACAGGATAGTGACTCTCACGAAAAACATTCAACCACTCATGGGACAGAGATGGAGTTGGATTCATGCTTCCAAAGGCCGGGAGAAGAGAGATCGAGTTTTCCTGACTATGTTCCACTGTGTAAGCCCAGCAACCCCACCGGGCCCACAGGCCCCGCCTACCTGCGTCCCCCATGAGTCCCGGCTCCATCTCCATGCCTTCCTGCTGCTGGTAAAAGTTTTCATAGAAGTTCTGGGCTGGTGGGATGGGGGGCATCATTCCAGAATGTGGGGAGTCTCCAGGGCCATAAGGCATCATTGGGGGGCCACCAGGTCCCATGGGCGGGCCAGGGTTCATGCCAGGGCCCATCGGCATGTCGGGGTGCATGTCCGGGTGCATGTCGGGGTGCATGTCCGGGTGCATGTCAGGATGCATGTCGGGATGCATTGGGCCCCCCATTGGCCCCGGGGGTCCCATATTGGGCCCAGGGGCCCATCGGCCCCGGGGGGGTCCTCCAGGTCCAGGGAACCTAGAAAGGAGGAAATGGGTGTCTATGAGAGGGGGCTGCGGAGAAAGGGGTGTGGGGGGGGTCGCACCCCCTGAGGGAGATGTGGGAGGGCCTCCACAATGGTGCGCAGTGGATGGGTCTTAGACCAGGGGTCGGCCAACCGGGGGGTCCGGGGGACCACTGGGGGGCCTGTGAAGGTCCGAAAAGGTGGGCGACCACCTGCTCCTAGGACCAAGGCCCTCCCAATTGTTTTTGGAGGCAGGAAAGCTGCCCTGGACCAGGGCTCACAGGTGGG